TATAGTATGCAGGGAGTTCGTGTACTCCTCTGAAAATTTTGCCATGACTTAACTTACGTGCGTTCCAGAGCACGGCCTTAGCGGAATTACGTATTTTCTTTCAGCAAATGTCCAAAGAGTAAAATTTGCCAGACGTTGCAACCCGCATGAATCTCCAAAAATTAAGAATAATGCGTTTATTGTTAATATCATTTAGTTTTGAACTTCAGCAACTGCGGACTTCTCCCTTCATTTTGCCGGACTCCCTCTTTTTTGATGGGCAGGGAGTCCAGTTGGCCTCCCTTGTTAACAGCTTCCAATACTTGCATATATATGTAAAATCAGGGAGTCCGACAGTAAATCGGGGAGTAGTTGACTCTGGACTCCCGTTAATTTCGCACCCTGGTTACAGATTCTGTGTATGTTGAATGCATGTTTATGCTATCAATGTTGACTGACCAGTGTAGTCAAAAAACATTTTACAGGAACGCATCTACTAATTACATAATGTCAGGGGTCGAAATTAGCGGTATCCCGATATCTGCGGGTTAATAGATTCTTGTGTTGGATACCAGATTTCAATGCTTGGTATCCTGCCGGGATAGTAAACAAAAATCGTCAAAATCGGGATAGTGGTTGTTGGGTTATCAACTTTATACGGCAGCGCATCTGAGCGAGTGCGCACGATCTGAGCGGCCGCAGCCCACTCTAGCGTTATACAGCAAGCATAGCATATTTGCAAGCGCCAGCGTAAATGTGATGTGTATACATTGTATCAAGCGAACCAGACAATGCGTCTATACAATACGTCTGCAGTGTACTGTGGAGGCATATGTAAAATAAATGGGAGCGATGAGTTTCGAAGGCAAACAGTTGTTAAAATTACTATCCAAAAAATGGGATACCTGATTTCAATATCCATGATATCTGGTATCCCGAATGGATACTATAATAAAAATCTAATTTCGACCCCTGACATAATGAAAGTCATTGGGAAAAGTAATTCCTGCTACAGAACTTTGTGTCATGAACGTTTGTTTTGGAATGTGGTTACTTTTGGTGTGCAGGGTATTACACTAGTGTTAGGACATGTCATGTCCATAGTTTTCTTTACATAGGAATTAATACACTGCACTAGGAGCAGATCTTATATGGTATCTGTATATATTTAACAGCTGTACATCTCAAAGTTACTATATGCTTTAATTGCTTGCACATACAGCATACAACACTGTGCTCTTAATAAAACGCAACTTCCAAATTATTTCCCTAAATGCTAAACTAATCCTAACCCTATAGTCTAAATAGAGTCTGTCTATAATTCAGAGTAGCAGGTGTGTTGAACGTTATGCTAGCAATATGGTACATGCTTTTGTTTTATTTAAATTAGATTAGATTAGGTAAAAAAAACTACTAGCCACGGCAATTTGTAAATTGTACACCAGCCAGGCACTCTACTTTTAAAACAGAAATGTCATGGACTTTGCAGGCCCGTTAACCTTTAAGCTAATGCGATTGAATTTCCATCAATAAAAGTGCATTCGTACAGCAAACGGCACTATTAGAATTGTTTCCCGTCTTTCTCGCGTGCTCTGCAAACGAACATCAACCTGTCTCTCCGGAACTTCGTAAGCTTGCCAGGAAAAGGATGTAGTAGCAAATTATAGGTTTTGAATTCAGGGTTATAAATGAATGTTTTGGCCAGACAGCAAGTTGTTGCTGCCGGAGAAAAAGGCAGGTAGCAAGTTTACTCATCCAGGCATAATAATGGTGGTGCTTCAATTTGGTTTATTAGGCATTTCTTGGGAGCAAGCAAATGTTGAGAGCAGGCAGCAATCTGACCCTTATAAGTTATAGGCAGTGCAACTACGACTTGCTGTCCTTTATTTCGAATCCTGTTTAAATTGCAATAACACAACCGCGTTGAAACTGTTCAAGGATTGTGTGTGTTAGGCCCTATCCCTCGTAGGTGCCTAGATGGCACATAAGGCAGTGACAAGAGATCTCCAACGCCGTCGGTCCGCTGCTACTGGTCTCAGTGTGTCCCCTAATTTTGAATCGTGAACCGATTGATTCGTGATTCGATCGATTCGATCCGACCGATTGATTCGTCGGGAAACCCTTTTGTACTCTGGGGAGCCCCTGTCACCCCTTAGCGAGAAGGGGGGCTACACCCTTACTACCCAACCTACTCCTGCAAATCACAATGTCGAGCGACGCTCTGCGCCTAGTAAAGAGTTCCTCGGACCGACTGTTAGATACTTGGAAAGGGAATAATTACTTTATGCTCCATATTGAAACATAGTCAAGAATAGCAGCTTGTAGAAATCGACCAATGATCTGTCGTGCATCGTCCGTTCCTGTGCGTCCGGTAACCGTCGTCAGCGTAAACCGCGGCAGTCAACAGTTTTGGGCACAATCTAACCGAACTCGAAGTAACAGGTCCGATATTCGGGTCAGTTTGGAAGGAGGATTGCAATACGAGTACTGGGATGTGAAAGCCTGGCGCGTCAAGGTTCAAAGGTCAGAAGGTGAAGAAGGGGAAACATTACTCCTTATTAAGTATTAGGGAAGATTAGCGAATTGCGGCACACAAATCTAAACGGACCTGACCTAGGACGTCGTGAATAAGATCAGGATAAAACATTGAATAATAAGGCAATCTGGTATGGAAAGCATCAACTGAAAATGCACCGAAATGGAGGTCACGGTCAAAGGTCAAATGGGCACAGGGAAGACTTTTAGACTTTTACTTTACGAAGGACATGGTACTGACGGAAGCCGATTTGAAACTTTTTATAATAGTATTCAAGCGAGCTGAACACCTAGACCTTTTTTGGCTTTTATTGAAAGGCCATGAATGTCCTTCTGAACTGACATAGCGTAAGAGTAAAGTGATCGGATAACTTTGACCCTCAAGAGAGAGGGAAAATTTGAACATGGATTTGATATGACTAGTTAACAAAAGGAGTAGAAATAGGCTTTTTTGGTTAGAGACACCTCCAACCACACTCCTTTCTCCCCCTCCTCCCCCCTCTTCCCCACCCACTACCCCCACCCTCCCCCTTACCTCCATCTGCGTAGTAGGGCCGTTGTCCTACATGATGTGTACGCAACTGCAGTGTCGTGCATATCTGCGCCTACAAATGTGGTACTACGACGACTGAAATTTTTAGTTTATATACGTAGCCTCAACAGACCTTCAGATGAGCCTAGACGCTCTGCGGCTTTTGTTTTCTTTTACTAGTTCCGCTGGTGGACTAATGAACTCTAAAATGGTTGTGTTACCCTGACATGTGGAGTCATTAGTAGTCCTCCTGTACTTTTCAAATCTGAAAGCCTGCTAGAGTATGACCCAGCCAAGGGTATGACCTGTGGTGCAGGCTGTATGTCTGGTAGTTTTTTCACCGGCACTACAAACTATCGTTTGGAAACTGTTAAAGCGCATGATGCTTCCGAGAGGCACAGAAAGATCCTAGCAAAAAGAAATGCAAGGACCATGCCTGTTTCACGAAACAGGGGGGGGGGGCCCAAGTGACCCAGAACTGAGATTGAAATGGTGTGTGGCGATCAAAAGAGGTGATGAAAGTGCACACGCACGCACATATGCAGCACGTGTACGTGCACACGCACACACACACGTGTTGTGCACGCGCGCGCACACACGCACGCACGCACGTGTACGTGCACACGCACCCACGCACACACGTGTACATGCCCACGTACGCACGCACGTGTACATGCACACGCACGCAGGCACGTGTACGTGCACACGCACGTACACACGCACGCACGCACGCACGTGTACGTGCACACTCACTCCTGCACGTGTACGTGCACACGCACGCACACACGTGTACGTGCCTATGCACGCACGCACGCACACACGTGTACGTGCCCACGCATGCACGTACGTGCCCACGCACGCACGCACGACGCACATGTACGTGCACGCGCGCACATGTACGTGTACAGATCAGCTTTCCTCCCAGATGTCTTTGCACCTCTACTTTGCAACTCTGATTTCAATTAATTTACGGTTTTCTCTTCGTAACTAGACGCCATTGTTTAGCAGTGATACCGGACAGTGCACGCGCACCATCTATCCAGCGATTAGTAAATGGCGAACCCCATTAGAAATGCACATGCTATTGGAAAAAACGGCAGGCCCTACACCGATTACGTCAAGCTGTGCCAGCTTGACAAGGCCAAGGGGTTAGATGTCGGCAGCACTTGCCTCACCGACAAGGCCTGCCAGAGGTTCATTACGGCGATAGCCGATACAAGGCGCCGGGAACAGTTTGTAGCTATAAATGAGGCCAATTTCCTTGCTGTGATAAGTGACGGATCCACAGATTCCTCATCAAAGGAGGCCGAAATTTTATTTTCGAATTAAAATTTTATATAATTTAAATTTTAATCTTATGATCCATATCAAAGTTATATGACTGTATTTTATACAATTGAATGTCTTTTACAAAACCTTTCTGGGGGACACCCCTTGTACAATTTTGAATCGTGTTTAAACTGCAATTACACAACTGCGTTAAAACTATTCAAGGATTGTTACTCTAATACTACGTCTATTTGCCATTAAATTTCACCCACTGGTCCACCGTAAGTCAAGTGGGCTTTTATTTTGCTTGTAATATTTAGATGTGTGTTGTTTTTTGCTTCATAGGGGCAAGTTCAGGAGGAGCGAACAATACGGAAAGTTGAGCTGAACTTAATAAAACCGAATCAGTTCCCTGACGCAAGGCCATTTTCTGATTTCCTGACAGATAGCTTTGGGCGTCAGCATGACTATCTACGTGTATCTTTAACGGAGAGATGCAACCTGCGATGTATGTATATTATGGCCAGTTTTTTGGCGTGTTTGTCTGCTGTATGATTGCAGCTTTAGATATATAACATATGTGTTTGTTAAGGATAGACTCAGGGTTACGGACAGGTACCTCCAGACCTCTGTAAAGGGCATTACCTACCTTAAAATGCAAACCTCTTATCTACGCATTTAACTGTCCTAGCAGTGTAAGTTCGATTATCAACAGGTTTAATGTCTAATTTAATATTACACTTTATAGTATGCGCCTCTTGTTGTACCTAATAAGCATTCATTTTATTCTTTAATTTGCATATAATTCATATCATTTCAGTATCGTGTATTCATTAGAAGACAAATATCACAACTAAACTTACTACTAAACTACTAACTAAACTTACTACTAAACTACTAACTAAACTTAACTAAACTTTTCTCTGTCGTCTTTTGCGTGGTGACATATACAAGGTATCGCTTTTCAGGTCAGTACTGCATGCCAGAGGATGGCGTAGAGTTGACACCAAAGAAGAGATTGCTGTCGACGGAAGAGGTCATCACTATTAGCCGGGTCTTCGTAAAAGAGGGCGTCACTAAAATACGGCTGACTGGTGGCGAACCCTTGGTGCGAAAAGACATAGTTGATATTGTTGGTAGGTTGGTTTGTGTATTCTTAAAATTAATCGTCATGTGCAAGTTAAAACTAAAAGCTTTGCTTGGTAATTTGTGTGTGCGTGCGTGCACGTGCGTTTGCGTGTATAAGTAACGCTGTACCGTTACAGGAGAAGATTTGGTTTTAGTTAAATATTTATTTATGCCACATTGATCAGGGAAAAAAGTAAAATGAATTTTTCGGGGGCTACTTTTCAAGCTAGCGGTGCATGAAAATAGCACTCTAAAATTTGGTTTGCATTGAACTCTATGCAAATTTACGGGGGCTATTTTTGACATTTCCGTGGCTAAATCGCCCCGAGCCCCCGTGTATTTTTTCACTGCACATAGATTGTGTTTTTTCTATGCTTTGGTACAAAACTTCGGGTACCTGTGTGTGCATGAATTGGATTGTCAGTGTGTACATATGCATATGCCTGTATGTGTGCGTGTACGTGTAGTGCAGGTGTGTATCTGTGCTCCTGCGCATGTATGTATGTGTTTGGTCACTGGTACATATTCATAGTTATGAGACATGACTGTTAAATTTTGCCAGCGATTCATTACATCTCTTCACCCTCTACAGGTGAGCTTCGAAAGTTAGTAGGGCTAGAGCAAATCGCCATGACAACAAATGCTATCGTGCTGAAGTCAAGGCTTCCTGACCTGCACAGAGCTGGTCTGACCCATCTCAATATTAGTCTAGATACTCTAGTCCCTGCTAAGTTTGAGTTCATCAGTCGCCGGAAAGGTTGGAGTAGGGTCATGGATGGCATTGACGCTGCACTTGCTATAGGATACAGCCCTGTAAAGGTACGAATTGGGTTTCAAGAAGAACTGATGATGGTACCGATCCAGGCTGCAATTCAGCTGACGGTCTCAGTTATATAAGCACGCCTAACTTCGGTATTGTGTCTATGTTGCATGTCTGCTTATGGTACGAAACCAACCTTGCCAGAGTCAGTTCTCCTTTTATGTAATGTCTAGTTAAACGAATGTATTGTTACACATGACTATCGCACTCACGCACGCAACCAAAGCCAATAGCACATTTTGCGTTGATGTCAATACAAGCACAAGTGGTATGTCTACGCGTGCGTGAAAGCACATTACGTGCACGTGTCTACAGCCTTGACACAGCTACTAATACGTGATTATTTACAAGCCAGCAAGCGTTTCTCGCCAGCGAGATAGCTTGTTCTAGCAAGGTGAACGGGTTTAAATTCGTGCACGCAATTTGGGACACGACACCAAAGCAGCGAAGAATCGTACAGCAAAAATAAACTGGACATTGTGTTCTGTCGGGAAGTCTAGAAACAGAAATATGTAAATTATACTGTTCATATAAGTAGTTACGGAACACACGATCAAAGTATTCTAATTAGTATGTATTTTAACTTCTTTTTTTTAATGTGTTCTATCTCATTTTGTAGGTTTTGGAGTTGCCAACCGCTCCCCATGGCCATTAGTGTTGTAAAAAATGGCCACCTTTAAGCATTTACTTTGCTATTATTAAATCACGTTCATCTTGTTTGAATACTGATAATATATTCCCAGTAATGAAATATGAAAAGTGCTGTATTCTGAATGTGAGATCATATATAAAAGTATAGATTGCTGCAATTGCCACCCCTGCAGGAATACTCTAATGTTATATCTTATCAAGAGCAAATAATACATGTCATTATTAGCTCTTCATCTTATCTATATATGTTGCACTATAAATTTGAGTTTTTCCGTGAGTTGCACATGAAGGCCTCAGAGTGACACTCTATACTGACACTGTATTCTCCTGTATATCGATGCATCAAATTGTTATCACCGTCAATGCACGTGAGCACACCATTGTAGCTACGCCGGTTGGTAATAGCCGGCTCTGGTGTTGGCCGACCGGCATGCAGCTTTAAATAACATCCTACCGAACGGCACAAAAATGATTGAGTTTTTGTAAAATTACGTTCAAATTAGTGAGCAATCTACAGATAATCACAACTGATACACTTAGAATTATTTTTGAAAACACAATCTCAACAATAATTATGCGTAAAATCATCATCTGATCACATCGTACAGCGCACAGTACATGCAGTATAGCTGGCTAAGTACCATGTAGCTATTATAATAATTTATGCATATGACGCAATCACTGATATTAGCCGGCACTAAAATTGTTCTGGCTAGAACCCTGATACTGACACACTGTATTCTCCTGTATGCATCAAATTGAGATCACCAGCAATGCACATGAGCATATATATATATGTATTCATTGATGTTTATATTTTCACTGTTGCAGCTGAACTGTGTTGTCATGAGAGGACTTAACGATGATGAAATCTGCGACTTTGTGGATTTAACTCGTGCAAAGGTAAATGTGGATCTTGAAAAGGAACAGTACTCCATGTTTTAGAATTGCTATCAGTTAAGTTAGGTGTTATTTATATGAACACAATTTTTAGCTCCCCTTGACATCGTCAAGATGAGCTATTGCCATGGGGTGTCGTCCAGGGCTCGAATTAAGCGCCGAGAAGGGCAAGGCAATTTTTTTAGGGCATGTGAGAAATCACCTTGAATTTTCTCTAAAATAGCAAGGCACCAAGGCAACTCTCAAAATTTGAGAAGGGCACCAAGGCACTTTTGTAAAATAAAGGAAAACTCATAACAAATTAGTACATCAACATCGTCTTGCTTTTAATGTACAAAACAATATGCCCCCATGTAAGCTTACACTGTAACACCGACCCCTGTACCCACCTCTGCTAATGGAAGTACAGTAACAAGAAATTTTACATGCCCGCTATCAGGAGCAAATAATTATCCGATGCCGTTATTATTCCCTCCTGCGACTATCGGTTTTTAGCTCATCATTGCAACTACAGCATGCACGCGCACGTGTTATGTTGATTCGACTAAAAACGCAACTAGGGCAGTAGATTAAAGGGCACCGACGGCAATTACACAAAAGGGCAAGGCAGGTGACTGCCGTCGGTCGGGTTGGATTTTCAGGGGCAGTACGGCGATTGATAGGGGCACCGACGGCAATTGCCGTCGGTGAAATCGCCGTCGGTGCCGTCGGTTAATTCGAGCCCTGGTGTCGTCTGTCGCACATCCATCCGTCCGTCCGTTCGTCCGTCAACATTTGGCTACGGTCAACGATAACTCAAGAACCGTTTGACCCACATGTTTCAAATTGCATATAGTTGTTACTCCTATGGGAGAGGTTTGAACGTCCTATTTTGGAGCATGCCAGTCGACCTACTTTCGAGACACGTCCACTTTTTGGCAAAAATGGAAATGGCCATCTAAATTCATTCGATCTTATTAAATTTTGGTATGTGTAACTTGTAAGGCTAGCCCCAAAACAGTTGTTACTCCTATGGGAGAGATGACAACGTCCTATTACGTTTATGTAGTCTAATTGGTCAACAACTCTAAAATCATACCTATATACGTGTAATATTGTGTTTTAGATTCTTCATTACAGTAATTTGACTGGAATATTTTATTGTTTTTATTTGCGCGATATTCGAAAACCAAAATGGCGATCATTTAGGTGTAGCGCCATCTCTCGTCAAGATTTCAGACTTTCAGATCTGAAACATTTATTTTCGCATCAAAACTTATGCATATATCATTATCAAGAGTATATAATGGGAGATATGCTATATAATGGCAGTTCTCCCATATGTACTCTTGCTTTATATATCCCCCCTCCCTCTTCTATCACACCCAAGGTGAGCTACAGTGTCATTGACACTTTCATTAATGTTTAATATCAATAAAAAAAAATTTAAAAATCACATTTGCATAGCAATTGCTGGCTTAGGTCATAATGCAATGAAAGTTGACCTTTTGATTTTATTTGTACTAGCTTTACAGCTGGAGTTTATGACAAAATGGAAATGTTTGTCTTAAACTGCTATCATGTATATTTTAAAATTGTCCATTTAGCAAAGTCTGGCTGAAAACTGATTCTGAAATCTAAACTAGTTAAAGTCTTTATCATCTAATAACATCACATTTCACAGCTATTCACAGACTGTCTAGTTGTATTTCTTGCTTAAATCTCATTCTTTTCACACAATTAATTTCACAGGATATAGATGTGCGCTTCATAGAATACATGCCATTCAATGGCAACAAATGGAATGACAAAAAAATGGTTTCGTACCAGGAAATGCTAGATTTAATTAGAAGCAGATGGCCAGAGGTTGAACGACTGACTGATAAACCAAATGACACATCAAAGGTAAGCAACACTGATTGCAGTTGTAGTTAAGCGCTGTGGTATAGTTAGTAAATAATAATTGTAAACGTATTTAAACATATTTGGTAATTATATAGTGGTATACACTCAGTGTATTCATAGAGTGCAGATTGGGCACAAATGAGGAAAGCTAACCATTTTGCTTGGTGAATTAGAGATAGTATTTACAAGTAATTAAGCAATAGTTGATATTGGGTACATTTTTTTAGTGGGTAAGTAATCATACGGCATGTTAAGTTGGTGCAGATTGTACGTGTTCAAGGGCTATAGAACGAGCCATCGTGTTGTGATTTTAAAGGCATTCAAGATCCCGGGTTTCCGAGGCCAGTTTGGTTTCATCACGTCGATGACTGAAAACTTCTGCGGTACATGTAATAGGCTACGGATCACAGCCGATGGAAACCTCAAGGTATGCAGAGGCAGCCACTAGTGCATTGTCAGGTTGTCGTTAGATTAATGAACTGCAGTCATCGTCGCTCTTAATTAGTTTAGAAAAACTAGCCAACTCGGAGCGCAATGTTGTAAACCATCATCAGGATATGCTCAATTCATTTGCTAGTGTGGGTGAATGTGTGTGAAGATGCTGAAAACCTGGGAAAGTAGATGGTTGTGTGAGGAGGTGAAATGTTGTCTGTGTAGGTTAAAGACTGTGTGATGAGGTGCGTGAGGAGGTAGGAGGTGGGGTAAAGAGTTGGGAGGATGTGTGAAGAGCTGGGAAGATGTGTGAAAACCAGCGGGGAGGTGTGCAGAGGTAGGAGTTGGGAAGATGTGTGAAGAGCTGGGAGGATGTGTGAAGACTTGGGAAGATGTGCGAAGAGCTGCGAAGATGTGTGAAAAGCTGGGAAAATGTGTGAGGAGTTGGAAGGATGTGTGAAAGGCTGGGAGGTGTGACGAGGTAGGAGGTTGGGTGAGGAGGTAAGAAGCTGTGTGAAGAGCTGGGAGGCTGCGTGAGCAGAGAGACCTTTGACCAAGGTGGTTTATTGGGAAAACTCGCACACTTTGTAAGCACCACCTGACTTCATTTTTACTAACACAGGTTTGCTTGTTCGGCAACACGGAGGTGTCACTGCGTGATGCCTTGCGGGGCGGCATGTCAGAGGCAGATCTGCGACAGGTTATAGGTGCAGCGGTAGGCAGGAAAAAGAAACAGCATGCAGGTTAGTAGCATACACTGGCATAGGTCGTGTTCAGCATGTGTAGGTTCGCGATACCACAGATTTAGCAATCATGGACACGTCGCAGTAAGTGAAAATATCATCGGAATAATCGTAATCGCAAATATCGCAATATCGTGAATAATCAACAGATTTAACAATCACGCACGCAGCAAGTGAAAAATAATCGGGTATGGAATGGGGTACCGGTGGAACTAATCCGCAGCGCGGCGCTGATCGATAACTCAGTTTTTCAATGCAATTGTGGTTGTAAACACTTTAGTCAGGTCCCTTAGCTTCATGATCGTCACAGAGCTGACAAAGCATCAAACTTGGCACAGTTGTAGCCTATGGCAGTACTATAAATATTAGAGGGGGTGCCCAATGTAGATATTCCTTAGAAGTGAATTACAGATGATTAAATGTTCGAACCGCGCCCGCCTGTACTGGCGCATTGTATACAGCTGTTAACCCCTGAATTTTGAGTTTATTGAATCACGAATGGTTTAATTAATTACCAAAAATATACGCACGATATCGCTCATAGGCTAATATATACGCGCGGCTATGGCCCGTAGGATTGTGTACTAACTCTAATATCTCGCGAAGGATTTGAGTTACATTTCTAAAATTCTAGCTACCTATAAACACATCTCTTAGCTATGGTCTCTGTAAAGTTTGAGTTTATTGAAGCACGAATAGTTTAATTAATTAATTAAATATACGCACGGTATCGCTCATAGGCTAATATATACGCGCGGCTATGGCCCGTAGGATAGTGTACTAACTCTAACATCTCGCGAAGGATTTGAGTTACATTTCTAAAATTCTAGATACCTATAGACACATGTCTTAGCTATACTCCCTGTGAATATTGAGTTTATTGACGCACGATTAGTCAATATATTAGCAAATATATGCACGCGGAAGTTAATTACAGATGATTAAATGTTCGAACCACCCGACTCCGAACCCCCCTACCGCGCCTGCCTGTACTGTGTGTTCAGAGCATATAAATCAGTGATAAATGCTCTTGTGTAGCTGGCGCATTGTACAACGTAGCATGTATTCGGCATTGTATAAGCTGGCGCGGTAGCCGGGGGTTCGGAGTCGGGTGGTTCGAACATTTAATCATCTGTAATTCACTTCTAAGGAATATCTGCATGGCACCCCTCTAAGTAATTTTATAGTACGCATAAGCTACAACTGTGCCAAGTTTTGAAGACTTTTGTCATCTCCTGGAACGATTCGGCATATTTTGCACTAAGGGACTGACTACTTGCGGTTGCTCGAGGTACCGTAGTTGACATCAGCGCCGCTAGCGCAAGGTGCACGCATAGCCGGTGTCCTCATTATACAATATAACTAAAAAGATTGTAAAAAAACTTTTACAAAGTAAATTACGTGAAGGCATAATGTTAACAAATTGTTACAAAATATCCCACTGGATACGCTTATCCGCATTGTATTACTATTATTGTTGTATGACTAATCAACCTGTTTTCCCTCTCTGTAGGTATGTTGCAACCTAGCAAGTATGAAGAAGATCGGCCATGATCACTTATTGGTGGGTGACTCCGATGTAGCCAAGTATGTAATAAATTCGCATATAACGCTTTTAGTGGGAACGTACCCTGTATTAAATAGCATGATTAGACAATCCAGGCATAATATGATGCGCAAAAGCTCATGGCAAGGCTTGTCACGTCTTTGGCGCCGTTAAAGCTATCGATTACTTATAGCAACTGTCATTATATTTTGATTGTCAGGCGATTTTATATACTATCCGAAGTTCTTAATGAAATTGTAATCGTGGTGGTCAATTTGACGTTAGTCTAAAAAAAATTGGGGTGTTTCTCAACCAATGATGCAAGACAGTCAAATTACATCTCTATGACTGTGGTTTATGGTTGTGTTGGTGTTTCTGGCACTTAATTTTCGTAAAGGGATGTCACAGTCACCACGCAGGGGGCGTATAATGGTGCAGGTGAAAAACTGATAATTAGGTACTGTCAGGCAGGAACATGCGTGCCTCTGAGGAAGACTGGTCGCTGTCAGTAGGTCACTTGTCGCAGATTTCTGTCGTAGCAAAGTGAATACTGGATGTGGGACGTTTTTATATGGGGGGAATGGTGCAATTTGTGATGTGCATCTAAGGTATTACTAAATATTATATTTTTACTCCGTTTTCGATACACCTGGAGGGTATCTCCAAGGCTTTTCATTATAGCATGGCGGTGCTGCCTTTATGCGGTCCTTAATTGCAATCGCCGAAGCGGTTCCGCGTGCAGGGTGGCGCTATGAATTTAGCATGGCGGCCTATCGATATTTAGAGTGCGGGCATTTAGATGCGGGCTTGACATAGCCTGGCGGGCCGCCAGGATCTATTATGCTCTGGAGAACCCTGTACACTGATGCGAGTAAATCGGAACAAGCCGCAGTCGATTTCAAGACAGGGGTCCTGAAGACCGCCGCATTATTCCTATAAATTACCCATATTTTTATTACGCGATGCCTGATTGGTCGGGATGCCCCAGTAATCGAATAGCACAGGTTTAACAGCAATGACCTAGAAAATGGCGAACACATGGAGAGTTTTGTGTAGCTTCGCATGGCACTTTAGCTTTCGGATGACTATTTTTAGCTTCATCTGACATAAGTCAGATGGGCAGCTTGTAAAATCGGCATGAGCGTGTGTCCGTCACCGTCCGTCCGACCTCCGTTCGTCGTGCAACAGTTGGGCACATTCTAGCCGGCCTCCGACGTACGGCACGATATTCGGACGTGGGGGGTAATCCGAAAACGAGTTGATGTCGAAGCTGAGGTCAAAGGTCAAAGGTCAAAGCGGTGTAAAAGAGGGGAACATCCGTGTCCTTAACTTAAGGTATAGAGAGAATGCAGAAATGACGGCACAATCTAAACGGCTCACCAGCTTACGTGATAGTCGGTGTATAGCATCATGGTAGGAGAAAGAGCCCATCAACGGTGCCGAAATTGGAGGTCAAAGTCCAAATGGCAACAGGGGCAGAATTTTAGACATTTTTCTGAGGACATGGTCGACGGACCCGAGCGAAAATCTTTTTGTTCAGCGCCCGACCTACCATTTTTATCAACTTATTAAAAGACCATGAAATGTACTTCGCGACGTCGAATGATAAGTGTCCGATACCTTTTGACCCTCAAGAGGCCGGGTTAACACATGGGATTTTTGTTACTGTTAGATAAAGAATTGAGCTGGTCGGTTGCATAGTAGAATCTATACATGCTGATATAGTGAGCTACAATGTCACGAAGGTGAAATTTTCAATAGTAAATTTGTTGAAGAAAGTTTATCCTCTTAAATCGTATAATTTGCTATGGCAATTCTGTACTTCAGCGTGTTACATGTAACTATGGCCACTGCTCCAAGTTGGCGCCTCAAAATGTTTTGGGTTGGGGTGGGTTAAAAAATACTGGTAATTTTTTGCCTACTTAATTGAGTTACAGTGGCAGCCTCTCTATTCAGCGCTGTAGGCTGCTGTAAAATGCTAGTGCTATACCTATTCTGTCTTGCCAAAGTTGTTGCTACTACGTCACGAATGGGAAGCTTCCATCTTAATCTGAAGACACTTAAACATACCCCCATTCTTTGTTGGCAACTTCATAACGACCCCACGAACATTCCTTTGAGAAGGTTTCCTAGATAACACCCTGGTCTCCACTGTTTGCGTGTATGGAACACATTGGGCTAACAGGGTTTACTAGAATCCCACCACTCACCTACAGAATCACCGCAGAGAGTTAGATGAGCGCTGTCGTCCGCGGCACATTGTGTATCCTATATTTGATTAAATTTACCATTCATTTCATTAAATAATGTAGAAGGTAGTCAAAAGCAAATAACAAAATAATAGTTTGTAAATTTTTATTTCTGCTGTTCGGCAACCTAAAACTTACTTTTTTTCCGAGAGCTCTTTTTTGATATTGTATGACACAAAAGCTCTCGTAATTCTTTTGCGGGGTAGCTATTTTAGCTGCCAGCGCTACTTTTCAATACATGATTTTGTTACAATTTCATAATTTTGATGCACTGACCTTAATATCATTCATCATGCATTCAGCCCCTCACACCATATCAGACTATCAAGTGTTAAAGAAATCGTTCACAACATTAGCATTCGATCACCTATTTTTAAATCTCATTTCACTCGACTAAGAAACCAATCACTTCTTATTCAATTTAATTCACACAGACAGACATCACTACACATTACACATAGTTTATTCGTTACTTTGAGTATTTTAAAATGCCGGTGAGCATTCTGGCAAGGTTTTACTTTCGTTTTCTCCTCCCATCGCTACGGTACCCCCCATGGCATATATCAATGCTCCGCACATCCGCAAAGTTGCAAGTGCCTAGAATCTTTAAGTATATACAGTTTACATTGCTTCTAGATATCTAACTGACATAAAAAGTAGTCCACTTCGCACATTCCACTTCTCATAGCCACATGAAAACGTGACGAATTCAGTTAACAGGCTTTGATTACGTGCTGTCAGGTGTCACTGTCGTGCCTCACTCCCCACAGATAACACCTGCGATATAAAAACTTATTGTTAGCGTCATAAAAACACTGGCTGCGCTACATGCCATGGCCGCAATCGATTCTAGACCGCGCGAGTTTTGTCGGTGTGATCATAGCGTTAAGGGATTAATGACTCTAGAAGTTTGATACCCCTCTACGTTGAGAACGGGTCGTATTATGCGCTCCCGTTTACAAGTCTGTATTTTTTTCGCTGCTGTGCGGCGATTATCTAGTCGCCCCGCCGGACCAGCTGACACAAGCAAGCAGTCACCCGGTAGATTTTCTAATCGCCACTGGCGACTGGGCGACCGCTAGTTTCTCACGCTGTGGTGCATTTGCATCCATGTCAAAACCATTACAAAATTGGCAAATTTGCTATGGTCAGTTATTTTCACTCTAACAGAGTTATGATTTTTTTTAGTAAAGTTCATGTAAAAATATAACGAGGTTTCGCTGTATGGTACAATTGCAGTACCGGCCTGGCTAATTTTGCAAAAACGTTTTTGTCCTGCTACCATGAATCTTGTTGTAGTGAAGAAACTCCAGGTTTCCTTTTGGTATACTTGTAAAGCCATATTGCACCAGTAGACAGTGTCAGTTTTGGTATTTGGCGCAATGGCCATTTCCATATTTCAAATTCTTGCCAGAAGAAAACGTCAAGTGGCATATAAAGGCAGATCTCTGACCGAAAGTTTGTTCTTGTACAGATGCAAATGCTGCCCCTACAGACGAGATCCGCACTACAATACCGGCAGCGAACCGCAACCCACCAGGCCAGCCGAAACCTATTTGTAGGCTTCCACTTCAATGCTCCTCTGCGACACATCTTCTTGCATCTCAGCCTCCCGTAAACACCGTTAGTGCTACTCAATTTCACACGACCGCTGGAAGGCGCGCAGACAACGACGAGAAAGGAGCGAAAGAAACATTGCTCACTAGCGACTCTGGGAAGAGTGCCGGCGACCCAAACTCGTCCTCCGACGGAACGAACGTGTGGATGGATGAAGACACGATGAGATACTGGGAAACCAATCGCCCGCCAGCGTTACGGCTGCCGCCACTCGACCCCGAGAATTCCGAAGTCGATGCGCAACCGAGGAAAAGTCGACCGAAGCGTGAAGAAGCGAAGAGCCGCGACAAAGAAGCGAGCGAGAAAGACGCAAACGACGACGGTTGTGGCGTTCTGACGCACACGGACGCCGAGGGTCGTGCGCGCATGGTCGACGTCGGCGCGAAACCAACGACGGCGCGGGTGGCGGCGGCGCGTGGCCGCGTCACGCTCACGCGCGAGGCGTTCAACCTCGTCGCAGAGAACCGCGTCGCCAAGGGCGACGTTCTCACCGTCGCGAAGATCGCCGGCATCATGGCGGCGAAGCGAACCTCCGACCTCATCCCACTCTGCCACCCGCTGCCGCTCACCGGCATCGCCGTGACGACGACGCTCGACGCCGCCGCGTGTCAGGTCGTCGTCACGGCGACGGTGTCGACGGCGGGTCGCACGGGGGTCGAGATGGAGGCGCTTGCGGCGGTGAGCGTCGCGGCGCTGTGCGTGTACGACATGTGCAAGGCCGTCACGCACGAGATGGTCATCGAGGACGTGAAACTGCTGTGGAAGACCGGCGGTCAGCGCGGAGACTTCCGCCGCCGCGACCCCGCCGACTGATCTGTCTGACCAGATCTGAGACCTCTGTCATCATCAGCATGGGTGGTCAGTCTTCCAGTGTTAACAATACGACAGGGTCTGAGATTGTACAGTGTCCACAAGACGACCAGGTCTGATATTTCTGCCACGATCAACACGAATAATCAGTCTTACACAGTGTCAACATTGTGACCAGGTCTGCCACGATCAGCACGAATGACCAGTCGCACAGTGTCAACGATATGACCAGGTCTGCCACGATCAGCACCTCGGCAGGGGACGTAGTACAGTGAATTTGTACCAAAGGGTCCTAGCCGTAACGCCATGAGTTTGCGAGCACGCGAAGGGGGGTCTTCATAGAATTATTTTTTAAATTACACCCCTCAGATGCTTTTGTCATGCGCGAGCAAGGGGGGTGCGGACTCCCTGGACAGACCCCGCTGTACACAAGAGCCACCTGCATGCGGAGTACGCGAAGCGACCAGGCGAGGAGCCAAGGCGATCGATGGCGGGGTGGAGGGTGGTGGGAGGGGGTGTTCACTGTTCACCTCTCCGCGCACGATGGAGATTTTGCAATTATATATAAAATGGAGGGGGGGGGGGGGGGCGGGGGGGGGGGGGGGGGGGGGGGGGGGGCAAGAAAAAAAAAACAAAAAAAAAAAAAAAAGAAAACAGAACTAAGGGGGGGGGGGGGGGGAGGGGGGGGGGGGGGGGGACGCAGAAAAAAAAAAGAAAAATAAACCTGAGAGGTGCAATGTCTTGCAATTTTTCAGCAAGCAAAGAAATTTTTTTGCTTGGGAGAGGGCCTCGGGGGGCGGGGGGTTCGTTCGAAGCGCCCCACCCGAACCCGCCGCTGGCTAGCGGGCCGCTCGTTATATAATCCGGGCACCGTATAACGCGAAATTTGGCCTCAAGCTTTCCAACCGCCTGTAATGTGCTGCTGCGTGTTTATAAGTGCGAGCATCCCGTGAGGGGAAATATACTCAGGCGCAATACTTGGTTCCCATCAATCAACATTGAGGTGGGCGGCTCATGCGGCGCAGCCGCGGTTTATGAGGCGATCATATACGCGTACATTCGGCTTTATGAATGAATTATAGAACGCCCACAAATACTGAAACCCCTAGTACAGTGTTGGAGTGTATTATATAACACAACAGAGCTCGTTTACGTCTTGCAGCATCCAGAAAGGTAAGTTCCGCGCTCACGAAAGCCACCAGGAAGACTCCGCATGGACCACGATGGGAAATTTTACGAAGTCAGTTACGCGCTGTTGGCATGGAAGAAGAAGTTTTAGCGGCTGATGCCAGACAGTCAAGACTGAGGCGGGGCGGTAGAAAGGCTCAGACTGGTCACATCGATTGGACGGCCAGTGTGAACTGAATTATTTGTGCTATGCAGTGGCAAGACTTGGTCATGTCGTTGACGCAAGTGCGACTGAATTATTCATGGGCTGATCGGTGGCTAGACGGCTGGTCATATCGTTGACACTGTGCGCTGGTTCATTCGTAGCGCTGATGCGTGGCAGAACCTGGTCAAATGTTGACACTGTCTGTGAAGACTGATTATATCGTGTTGACTCGTGGCAGAATATGCAGACCTGGTCATCTTGTGGACCACTGTACAATCTCAGACCCTGTCGTACTTGTTGAAGCACTGAAGACTGACACAACCGGCATTGCTGATGATGAGAAGAGGAGGTCTCAGATCTGGTCAGACAGATCAGTACGCGGGGTCGGCTGGCGGTGGCGGAGAGTCTCCGCGGCTGACTCGCCGTCTTACCCCAGGGCAGTTTCACCGTCCTCGAGGATGACCATCCTCGTGCGTGACGGCCCTGCCCATGTCGTACACGCAGAGCGCCGGCGACGCTATAGACACGGCCGCGCCGGCAAGCGGCCTGCCGTATGTGATTCGAATCTCGACCCCCGTGCGACGCCCCGCGCCGACCTACGCGTCGCCGTGACGACGACACTGACACGCGGCGGCCGTCCGAGCCGCGTCGCGTCAGCGGCGATGCGGTGAGCGCAGCGGGGTTGGCAGAGTGGGCAATGAGGTTCGGAGGTTCGTTCCGCAGCCATGATGCCGCGATCTTGCGGCGACGGGTGAGCAACGTCGCCCTTAGGCGACGGCGGTTTAGGCTCGCGCGACGAGGTACTGAACGCCGTCTGCGCGTGGAGCGTGAAGGGCGCCGCACCGCGCCGGCGCGCACCAGCGCGCCGTCGTCGGTTTCGCGGGCCGACGTCGACGCATGCGCGCCACCGACCGCTCGCGTGCCGCTGTGCGTCAGAACGCCAACAACGGCGTCGCGTCGTTTGCGTCTTTCTCGCTCGCTTCTTTGTCCGCGGCTGCCTTCGCTGTCTTCACTCGGTCACTTTTCCATGCGTTGCGGCATCGACTTCGAAATTCTCGGGGTCGAGTGGCGCAGCCGTTT